AGTTTAGGAAAAGAGAATGTTTTTTAGTCAGAAAAAAGCTTTATATTTTATATTTGATTTTAGATTGTATTTTTAATTTATTTGTGTTAACATTTATTTATTTCAAGTAACAACATTTTTACATTGTTTTAATTTTAGTTTCAGGTTTAGTTTTAGTTAACTATAATAACCCTGATTTAAACAACCCCCTAACCCTAAATATTAGGGCTGTCGATCAATTGAAAAAAAACAGTTAATTAAAAAGCAATTAATTGCACCAATTTATGCAATTAATGATAATAAATGGCACAAAACATTCAAAATTGTAATCATAATACATTTTCAAACTGAATCTCCAAATTTATGTGGAAACAACAAAGACAGTATTTTAACTTTCAGTTATAAATATTTGTTTAATTGCATCTTTTTACTAAGTAAATGCCTCTATTAATAAGATAAAATATAATTATAGCCATTCAACATTACAGAATTACTGAAATTATCATATTGATTTTATCTATCATTTATTACCAATTACAGAACATTAACAACTTTTAACTGAAGTAAACTTAAAACGATATTCACATAAACCCATTATAATAAATGTCACATTTAGCTGTACCTTTTATGTTAAAAATGTTAAACAGCAGAAATTGATCACAAAAATTAGACATTAATAAATATTAAACTTTGGCATGTAACTTGTCCCACACCATTTGGTCTATGGACTGTATAATACTTTGCCAGCATTGTGATTTTCATCTGGTGGATAAAAACAACCACCCAAAACACCGCCTACAACACCCTAACAACAACAACCTACAGATGCCTTTTCAACAACCCTAGCAACCGCATAGCAACGTACTGGTAAAGTGAGTTTTTCACAGTCATCCAAACAAATCAAGTGTTTTCTTTTCTCACAGACCCCAAACCCACGTCATTGGTTGCTCTGTTGCTATGCCAGGATGGTTGGATGCTTAATCTAAAAACAGAGCCACAGTGTTCACACCTTTCAGGGGAATCAGCCTGAAAGACTAATAGTTCACACTGAATATCAATCTGGGATAAGGGAAAGTATTTTAACTTCTGGAAATATTGCACACATCCCCTTTAATATTGTTCTAAAGAAGAAAAAGCAAGATGTCATTGCCTGTAAATCATTATAGTCTATTCTTCATCTGCTCTTTGACTCCATTCTGATATATGTGCAACTTTGTCTGTTGCTTTTTCACAGGTGATAAAGTACTAAATATTTCATCCAAAGCTCCACACTCAGAGGACACACAGAGACTTAGAGGTGCTTTCTCTCCCCTTACTGAACTTCTTAAATAATTCATAGGCCGATTGAAATGATGCCATACCTCTGGTCATGACGATGCCCGCTAGGCCTTTGTGACGTGCGTGCAGCAGTGAGGAGCAGCCGGCCAGCTCTGTGTATTTTTCTCGCACCAGGTGGAATATTGCATCTGCAAACTCCTGCAATTCACAACAGGTTATTGGTAAGTTTGTTGCCTTATTAAAAATATATGTTCATATGGACGATGTTCGTGTACCAAATCTTCACACCATACAGTACTGAAAACAATGGTTAGAAACTTACAATAATAATTTTAAGCAGCAAACATTGTAGAATTTTTCAGATCAGTAGGTGATGTAAATTCAAATGTGAATGCATTTGAAAAAATATGAATAATATTTCCATTAAAAAATTGCATTCTGAAGCATAATTTAAATTGCACAAAAACTATTATATTATATTATATTATATTATATTATATT